AAATGAGCTGGGAGCTAAAATGTGATTTTTAATTCTGTCACAGGAGAAGAACTTCTGTAATCAACTGGAGGCAGATGGAGTTGGCAGAGATGACATAAAGGCCTGCACTAATTACTCCACGCATCTCAAGAACTGATAAGAGAGTTGATTTATGCCTGGAACAGCCTGATAATTCCAGAAATAATAGATACTGCATGACTTAATTAATCAATGTAAACCTGGTTGTGCTGTGAGTTTGAATGAGTGGCCGTGGTGCAGTGCAGCTGTGTGGAAGGTGAGCACAGTCTGCTACTGCGAGGAGCCTAGGAGTACCTACTAATGGTCCAAACCAAGGACCAGGTTCTGAATGCATCCTGCAGTTGTCTCTCATTGTGTTGGGCAAGTTCTTGTGCTCTTGTGTTTGGGGAATGTGAGTGTGGCTATGCCTAATGACATCAATAGAATCACAGAATCATTAGGGTTGTAAGAGATGTCCAAGATCATCGGGTCCAACCTGTGACCCATCACCACCTTGTCAGCTAGACCAGAGCACTAAGTGCCATGTCCTGTCATTCCTTGAACACCTCCAGGGATGGTGACTCCACCACCTCCTTGGGCAGCTCCAATGGTGTGAGTGTGGCTATGCCTAATGACATCAATAGAATCACAGAATCATTAGGGTTGTAAGAGATGTCCAAGATCATCGGGTCCAACCTGTGACCCATCACCACCTTGTCAGCTAGACCAGAGCACTAAGTGCCATGTCCTGTCATTCCTTGAACACCTCCAGGGATGGTGACTCCACCACCTCCTTGGGCAGCTCCAATGGTTGATAACCCATGAAGAAATGGAGTTGGCAGAGATGACATAAAGGCCTGCACTAATTACTCCACGCATCTCAAGAACTGATAAGAGAGTTGATTTATGCCTGGAACAGCCTGATAATTCCAGAAATAATAGATACTGCATGACTTAATTAATCAATGTAAACCTGGTTGTGCTGTGAGTTTGAATGAGTGGCCGTGGTGCAGTGCAGCTGTGTGGAAGGTGAGCACAGTCTGCTACTGCGAGGAGCCTAGGAGTACCTACTAATGGTCCAAACCAAGGACCAGGTTCTGAATGCATCCTGCAGTTGTCTCTCATTGTGTTGGGCAAGTTCTTGTGCTCTTGTGTTTGGGGAATGTGAGTGTGGCTATGCCTAATGACATCAATAGAATCACAGAATCATTAGGGTTGTAAGAGATGTCCAAGATCATCGGGTCCAACCTGTGACCCATCACCACCTTGTCAGCTAGACCAGAGCACTAAGTGCCATGTCCTGTCATTCCTTGAACACCTCCAGGGATGGTGACTCCACCACCTCCTTGGGCAGCTCCAATGGTTGATAACCCTTTCCATGAAGAAATTCCTCCTGATGTCCAACCTAAACCTCCCCTGGCACAGCTTGAGGCTGTTTCCTCTCATCCTGTCACTAGTTGCCTGAGAGCAGAGCCTGACCCGCACCTGGGTCCACCCTCCTGTCAGGGAGTTGTAGAGAGTGAGAAGGTCCCTCCTGAGCCTCCTTTTCTCCAGGCTGAGCCCCTCCATCTCTCTCAGCCACTTAAAGAAGGAATATGGTGCATATACATCCAGCAACAGTGAGTACAAGCAATAACTTGTTTAGGAGTTATTCCATCCCATGGGTTCATGATAAATAGTTGCATCAGGAATAAGTAATTTTAAGGCCTGAGTAGTTTTAACTCAAGCTAGGACCCTGCCTGGTATGCCTGGTCATTAGGTGGTCACACAGGCAGGTGTGTCCTCCACCTGCACAGATGAGAGGGGACACCCTTGGGTGGGAGCAAAGGCTTGAGTTAGCCCATAGGACAAACCATGTTTTCCTCTGGCTGTTGTCCTGCTTTTTTCATTCTTTACACCCAGACACTGCAGTTCTATCATCCCCATCATGGGACCTCCCTGGAATACCCCTTACCTCTCCCCACAGGCTGTTTTTTTTGATCTAACACGGTTTTGCTGTTTGTATTTCCAGATTCAGGATGTTTTCCTGGAGCAGCCTGGGAGGATGGACAGGTTGAACTCTGTTTTCACCCTCTCACCTTTCTCTACTGCAGTTGATGAAGTGAAGGTAGAAGTATAGGTTGGTTGGGGGACACCCAGAGTGGTCCAAAATATATATCACTGATAGAAACACAGGTTTTTCCCAATTAAAACAGACATCAATTAGAAATATCTTAGTTATGATCCCAAATCCAAAAAGGAACTTCTCTGCTGGTTAGACTGGGAGAACTAAGGGCAATTTTAGCCTATGAAGAAGCCAATGCCCAGGTCTGTGGGCAGGGATTTCTCTTCCTCTCCTGCAGTGCATCTTAAACAGAATTATTTGTGTACCAAAATGCCACAGATTTTAATAAATTAAACCTGCTTTTAGACCCTTGTGGTGAGGGTGACCCAAGCCATGAACTGGATAGTCAGAAGGGGATTGAACTCGTTTTAATTTCTGAAAATACAGTTTATAGTCACATCCATACTGACATTCAGAACCAACAAATATACACAACAGCTTTCCAGGACTTCACAATCATCATCACTTACATAGTAATAAAGTGGTTACATTACATTTTCTATGCAGTTTGGGTTAGAATGTGAAAACATTATGAATATATTGAATCCTTGAAAAAATGTTTTCCTGATCTCATTTTTTCCCCTTTCTTATTGTGTTTGAAGGATTCCTCAATACTATGAATCTCTCAGATGGGTCAATGACAGTAAACCAATGCAAATAGACCACACAGCACATTCTAACCATGGCTTGGACACAATGTCCAGCTCAGTGCTGTGGCCTTTTTTGTATGAAACTCTTTAGAAATAGCATTTTTCTTCGAAGACATCCCCTTGAAGGCTTACAAAAGGTACTATCTGAGCTGTTTCCTGCTTTGAGGTGATCCCAACAATGCAAAGCAGCCCTGAACCAACTTAGCAAAGTGGTTAAAACTGGTTTGGAATTGTTTTGTTTTACCAAGCCTGTAAATTAGCTCTCTAGAGTACCAAAAGTGGTCACAGACATGTGACTCAACTAGGACAACATGATAGCTTGATCCAACCCCAAATAACCCATGACTCTTTCTACTGGGAAAGGGAGAGGAGTCAGAGACATCTATGTACATTGATTTGAGCTCATGGGACTCCAGATTTTAGATTTGCCATGAATTCAACTTTAAGTCCCCGAGTTCTCCAGGTCTGCAAATATTTTTGCAGCACCAAAAGATGTCCTTAGACCTTGCTAGTCTGCATGTGTCCATTGAATTCAACATTCCTCTGGGTCAACATTGATTCCTGCAAGCGGCTACTGTTCTCCTGCCTGTGCTCCATGTGGTCTCCATCCTCTACACCATTGCCCTTTCGGAGGCAAAGGACTTTCTGAAAGCTCTGCTTGAAGTTGTCAGAAAGGAATCCATAAAGAATGGGGTTGGCACAGCTGTTTGCATAGGACAGGACCACCATGAAGAAGTACAAGCCTTCCAACACAGGGTCTGCTGGCAGGATAAATATCAAGTTTACAATGTTCATCATGTAAAATGGGAGCCAGCAAAACACAAAGACCACCACAATGATCACCACCATCCTGGTGACCTTCCTCTCTGATCTCCTGCGCCTTGTAGACCCAACTCGGATCCCTGATGATTTGACTTTAATCACAATCAGCAAATAGCAGAGACAGATCACCAACAAAGGACCAAAAAACCCAAGGACTGACGTGTAGATGATGAATGCTGCTGACCAGATGTTGACAGGCTCTGGCCAGTTCATGTTGCAGGTCTGAAAGTCTTCCTGCACATCTGAAAAGATAATGACTGGAAGCACCACCAAGAAGGAGAATGTCCACACAGTCACACTGATGAGCTTGGCCACCCTGGGCCTTCTCCACTTGGTTGATTTGATGGGATGCACCACTGCCAGGTAGCGATCCATACTCATCACAGTCAAACAGAAGATACTAGTGAACTGGTTAATGCCATCTACAGTCATGACCAGCCTGCACAAAAAGGAGCCAAAGGGCCAATAGGAGATGGCATTCTGGGTGGCCAGGAAGGGCAGGCCCAGCATGAAGAGCACATCAGCAACAGCTAAGTTCAAGATATAAATGTTGGTGACAGTTTTCATCTTGGCATAACGCAAAACCACATAAATGACTAAGGTGTTGCCGCTGAGGCCAACGGCACAAACGAGGAGGTAACAGATGGGGATGAGGACTTTGTGGATGTATTTGAATGGAAGTTGCTCTGAGAGGGTCCCATTCTCTGTCACGTTTGTCAGCAGGGAGGAATTCACATCGCTGGAAGCAGCAGCTGTGCTAAATGTGCTGGAAAAGTATAAAGGATCCATAACTTTTACTCCTTGGGTTTTCCTTTAAGGCTAAGAGAGATTAAATTGCAGGGGCATCTTGTTCCTAGAAAGAAAATACAAAATGGAAGAAAAAGAGAGAAAGAAAGAATGAATTCACAGTAGACTAAGTTTTACATGATTTAATTTTCTCTCTCTATTCAGAATTTGTGTTTGAACTATGCAGTCAGTGCCTGTGGTGACATCAATGCCTGAACAAAGGAACTGCACAATGGGAGAGCCCAAGTGCTCCTCTCAGTAGATGCTGGGATCTGCTTCATGTCCTGTTTGTCCTGCTTGGTTGAGTCTGCAGTTAGCAGAAAGGGGCTGGAGATCATGGAGATTTTTAGGAACCTCAGTCTCAAGTGCTCCAGGTCTTTCCTCTACCATTTCTTCCTCCATGAAAGCTTGAACACTTCCAGGGATAGGGCAGCCACAGTTTCTCTGGGCAACCAGTGCCACACCACCCTCACAGGGAAGAATTTCTTCCCTATATCCAGCCTAAGCCTGCTCTGTATGTGTAACACTTCTATAAGATTTCAATGCCAGGTGGGTCTATCTGTTTAATTTTCACAGGATCCATGCAGTGGGGTAAGGACTGGATGCAGCTGTGCATGGCAGTAACATGGGAACAACATGCATACTGCTGGGAAACACAAGTGAGAAGAGAGAGGGTGAGGCCATTACACTCCCCAGTCTGAGGCAGAAGCTTTCCTACAGAGGAGTCTGAATGCCCTGACATGTGAGCTGTTCAGGCACAAAACCTGCTGCAAATAAGGCCACTCCTTCCTCTGCTGATTGTAAATGTTCATTTTTGCATGTCTCCTGTGCCACTTGACAAACAAACTTCACTGTTGGACTGTCTCACTCTCCATAACCTGCTGGACATGCATTTTCCTCTTTTGGGATACCAGGAAGTAGAGTGGATTATACTCTAGTTCTCAACTTGCAGAAGAGAGAGGGTCTTTTATCAAGGGCATGGAGTGACAGGACAAGAGGGAATGGCTTTAAAAGAAAGTGACAGGACAAGAGGGAATGGCTTTTAAAGGAAAGAGGCTAAGTTTAGATTAGATACTGGGGAGAAATTCTTTACTCAGGGAGTGGTGAGGCACTGGGACAGGTTGCCCAGAGAAGGTTTGGCTGTTCCATCCCTGGAAGTGTTCAAGTCCAGGTTGGATGGGGCTGGGAGCAACCTGGTCCAGTGGAAGGTGTCACTGCCCATGGCAAGGGGTGGAATGAGATGGTCCTTTAGGTGCCTTCCAACCCAAACCATTCTGGGATTCTCTGAAATCCACAAGGCCACCTTTCCCCCTAACTATGTCTAAATGCTGGCACAGAAAATGTTAAAATGGTACCATTTTGAAGGACTCTGACTGAACAGCACACACAGAGCACAGTGAAAGCAAAGCCCTGGAATTAGTGCTCAGAGCTGTTAAAGTCCAATTTGGTGCAATTCTACTGTTGCTTAGCTGAGGGGCCCTAAGAAGGCTCAGGGATGACTCAATCCCACCTCACTCCTGTACAACCCTGGATGCTTTCAGAACCCAGAACCAAAGTCACTTCCCAGCTCTTCAGATCAGGAGCTCCACTGTGATGTTTCACAGGTCTCCCTGTTTACATAGAAACAGTCTTAGTTTGATGGATTCAAATGTCACTTACTGCCTGGCAGAACCAATGAAGAACCCCCAGGGAACACTGGTGATGTGTAGGTGGGGAATTAAACCCTCCAGAACCATGAAAAAACCCTAGGAAACAAATCAATGAGCTCCAGGATGGAAAGGACCATGCCTGAGATCACTTCCCCATGGGATGTGTGCACAGAGATGTGAAGGCTGCAATGGAAAGGAACAAGCTTTCTTTTCCACTTCTCAAGGCTATTCTTGTTGCTGTTTCTGCATCTCTCTGCTCTGCTCCTGAACTGTATCTTTGTCCAAGAAACACCTTTCCACTGCAAGAAATCTGAAGTGCAGTGGGCAGCTCTAGGACACAGACAGCTGAACAGATTGGGTGAGAAAATAAGTTTTAATAGACATTCTGAAAAAGTCTGAGAATTTCCAACACCCTGTTTTGTGCTGTGCTTGGTTCCCAAGAATATCTTCTCATATTTTTGTCTGATCATGGTCTAAGTAGGTGTTTATCAATCCTTCCTCTGTAGAAATAAAGCATCTGCTAGAAAAAAACCTAGAGATTTAAACACCAATCTGGCCCAAATCCTCTCCCAAGCCTCTGTCCCAGTCTCCCAGTGAAGGTGCTCAAGCAGAATGTGCCCAGGAACTTTTGTTCCTATTACCTGATGGTCAGATTTTCATAATAATCCAGGGACATAGATCTGGACTCACAAACATCCAACTCATATTGCATTTTCAAGCACAAGCAAATCCTGTATCATGCAGCATGTGCAAACTTCTTGTCTCCAAGAGGAATTGCAAACACCTCCATGGCTGGTTGCTGTGCTTTCTCTTTGGGTGAGAAAAACTGCAGTGAGTGAGAGTAGGAGCCCCTCCAGCTCCCAGTAGTAATCATAAATATGCTGTTCTGATTTGGAAATGTACAGATGGGAAGTAGGTGTCTCACATGTCACTCCATGGCTGGGAGGAGATGTACCAGAAGAATCAGCAATCCAGGGATGGGAGAGCTGAGTGAGCTGCCAAAGCTCAAACAAATGCTGGTTGAAGATGGGGATGAGGAAAGGGTAGAGAGGATCTGCAGGTTCTGAATGAACTGTTTGTGGGGTTGGGCTTCAGGTGATGCAGCCATGGGCATAGTGAAAGCATCCTAGTATCCCTAACAGCCCAGTACAGGGAGAGATCCTGCTCCTTATAAATCAGATAGGACTGGATTAGTGCTTAGAGAGAAAAAGCAAACTCCAGTTCTGGGCAAAAAGTGGACTTTGACAGAATTCCAGAATCATTAAGGTTGGAAAAGACCTCTGAGATCATCCAGACCAATCTATGACTTAACACCTCTATGTCAACTAGCCCATGGCACTAAGTGCCACATCCAATCTCTCCTTCAACAATTCTGTTCTGACACTCATTTTAAAATCCTGAGCTGTATTAAACCTCAGTTTATCTAGGGAAAAAATTTGGGAGAAGCCAAAGCAGCACCCACTCCTCCTGGGCTGGAAGGGTTCTAGAAGATCATATTTGCTTGCTGTGTGACCCAGCTGGTAGCTTTGAAGGGAAAAATATCTTGGAAATGGGAGCTGTGATGGGGGAGTCAGTGGTTATTCATGGAGCTGCACCTCTGGGATTGAGTATACTGCTGAGACTGGGAAAGCACTTCTCCCCACGAGCAGTCCAGAGTGGCTCAGCAGCATCCAGTCTGGGTCAAAAAGCAGATTTGTTTTGTTTAGGACAGGAAAAATAGGAGGAGAGTAAAAAGAACCAGTGCTGGCACTCAGTAGGGGAAGGTCAGGAGGCACAGTCATGTGTGGCTCTCATCCTAGTGCTCTAAAAATGAGGAAGGACATTTTCCTTCTAAAGTTACCTCCTTTTCCCACAGTAAATAGCCCTGAAATAGGTGACTAGAGAAATTACACAATAAATTCAAGCCTGTTGGTCCTTCTACCATGTTTGGAGTTCAGGCTTTGGGAGAAGCAGTGAGGAACAGGAGCTCTTTTTTTTGGATACTCCCCAATTTCTTGTCCCCCTAAGATAGCCTACGGCACAAAATCCATGCTGGGCTCTTCCAGCCATCCATCCCTGGGATCCCTTAGCCAAAAGTTTTTCATGAGGAACTTCCATGGAGGTTGTCAGCTCTTCCAGCCTCCTTCAGCAGCAGCTGTGACAGTCTCTCCCTGCTGTTGTGCTGTCCCCAGGAGTCAGTGATACTTCAGCACTGTCACTCTGCTTCTTTAGTATTTTGGGGCCCTTCTCTTGGATTTGTAGGGACATCAACCTTTACTCTGAGGGGTTTTGTTCCATTTGATGAATTTGTCAACTTTCCCTTCCACAGCAGATGAATTCAGAAGGAAATCACAGAATGGTTTGGCTTGGAAGGGACCTTAAACCCCACCCCATCCCCCCCCCTGCCATGGGCAGGGACCCCTTCCACTAGACCAGGTTGCTCCAAGCCCTGTCCAACCTGGCCTTGAACACTTCCAGGGATGGGGCAATACATTGCTGAGGAGGAAATCTATTTACTAAGGCTCTGATGCACAATCTTTTGTCTCTTCATCTGCTGACAACCTGCAGGTTAGCAGCACAGAA